CACATGCGCCCTCTGGACAGTTCCTATTTTTAGTTACTTTTTATTTCTTAGGTTAAGTTGTAAATAGTAGTTGGTAAGACTAGTTTATAAGGAACGCGGCGCGAAAAAGAAGAACGTCGTTCTTCCACTTCTTGTATGAAAGAAAAAGAGTCAGCACGTGCGCGTCTTAAAAAAAAGTACAATCCTTGCAAATAGCAAGAAAAGTCGTCGTGCGTCATTTCTTACACCGGGTTCTCCTTCGCGAACCTCAGTCCCCACACATAATGTATGAGCAGCTCCATCTTGCGACAAAATATGTAACTTATAAACGCGAAAAATTTAGATTGTAAAAAGGTTCAGTTTAAAGAAGAACACAGGATGTATTTGATAAATTGTAAACTAAAATCATAGACAACTTGTAAATACTCTAATCTAATAAGTGAAGGATGATAAGGCAGCCAATTAATGACTTTTTAATTATAAATATTAATTTTATTGGAGGAAATGAAACAAATTGTAAAATAAATTCATAATTATCCTTGATTTTCAATTAGAAATCTATTTTTGTCATTCAATTCTCAGAGCTAGAAAGTAACGCACGTATTCTTCACTTAGTAGAACCAAATATAAAATTCGTTTTATTAATACAGTTTCATTTTATTAGTTTAAAAGATAATCCTTGTTAAAGTTTATTAAAGAATTTCAAAGTTAAATTTAGTTGTTTAGTTTATTTAATTCGTTTCAAAATATCAATTAGTTTATTTATTTTTCCTTTTTGTTGTTTGATTAAACCAAGCGCCCATAGTGCTACTTGAGAATTAGACCTCGCCAACAAAATCCCTAAATTCAACGAGAAGAATCGCAACAACGTCATGTCTTGTCAATAATAAGTGCTTACTAGAAACAAGAATTAACGTTAATGCTGAAAATTATAGAGATTAGCATTATGTTAATAAGAATTATGTTATACTTTTGCATATAACAACAAAACATAATCACCTTGGACTAATTTGGTTTCTTCTTACTATAGAGAAGGAATATAAAAAGATAGAAAAAAAGACATAAAAATGTTATATCTATTTGAAAACAGAAGTTGATAATTTAAATATAGTTAAGTTTCTGCGTGAGAGGAAACGCATTTTGATGCTAGGACTAAATTATATAAATATGTTTTACTGCAACATTGTATAAAGGAAAGTAGAAATGTAAATGTTGTAAAATTGTAGATGATGATAGAAGAATTGTTTGAAGGTATAAAAAGTGGATGTCATTGCATTATGTTGCTGGTGATAAATATTGTGAATATTTTATTAACAAATTAAGCTAATGCCATTCCAGTAACTAACAGAAATATTACATATTGCCGTTTTAAACAAACTGTTGAAGTTTTATTGCAATATCTAAGTAATAACAAATTAAATAACTTCATAAATGCTGTAAGCATTGCCAGTGATACTACATCACTTTACATAACTGCTAAGAATGGCTTATTAAAAATTATCAGATCTTTCCATAAATATGGTATAAAAAAGGTAGATATATATAAGAAGATAAAAAAGGTAAAATATTATCTGACTTTTCTGAAAATAAAAGTATTGTTAAATTACAGCAGCTGGTTGAAGAATTTTTTGAAAGTACAGCAAATGGTAATTAAACTAATATGTATTATGTGATGCCATAATAATAAAGAAAAGAAAATATTACAAATTGTCACAGTTTATAAATACAAAATTATAGCAAGTAAATTATTAGAGCCTTTAAGGGGAGTTGGTCAACTTTATAAGATATCAAAATAGAATGCCAAATTATAGACCTAACATCATTAAAAAAAATGCTTTGTTTAGCATTTTCGATTAATTTCTCTTAATCAATAGTATATTTCATTGACAATTTAATTACTTGAACAATATGAGTTATAAAACTTACAAAAATTATAAAAATAATAAATTTTATAAACCTAAAATTATAATATGATTTTGTTTTGGAACTGTACAGTTTTCTACATTAGGTCATATAAAACTTATCTCCCAAATGAAAATTTAAATTTTTATTTTTTTATTTTCTGTAGCATCAATATTGTTATTGAAACGATGCATCATCTAATCAAGTAGGACCTTTTCTAACTTTTTGATATAATATATCGAACATCTTGTGGTGGTAATTTTTTATAAGATTTTTTAAATACTTTGTTTTGTTCCCTGTTTTATCAAAACAAAGATTGTGCAATTTTTTAAAAGCAGGAGATATATTAATTCCTATTCCATGTAATATTTTAGATAAATCTTTTGGTGTAAAAAGCTTCTTCTGTGCTAAAAAGTGATTTAAGTAATTTTTTTTATGAAAACAAGATTTATGGAAATTTCTCAAAACAAAAGCAGCATTATTTCCTGCCATAGATAATATATGGGATAAATCATTAGGTGTAAAACCTGCAATATAGAAATCATCTAAAATCTGTGTTTTATTTCCTATTTCATCAAAACAAACACTATAAAAATCTTTTAAAGCAGAACAAATGTTAGTTCTTGCTCCATGCAGTATACTACTTAAACCACTTAGTGTGAAACCATTTTTATCATTTAAGAAGCGATTTAAATACTTTTTTGTCTCTTCTACAAAACAAAACCGGTGAAATTTTTCTAAACTATCTACGGCTCCACTCAACATATTGCATAAATCACCTGGTGTAAAACCTACTTTATATAAATCATCTAAAAGTTTTGTTTTTTCTCCGTTATCAGTAAAAAAAATATTATGTAATTTTTCTAAAATAGAAGAAGCATGAACTCCTGCCCCACATAACATACAAGATAGATGGCTTGCCTTAAAATCAGCCTTATAGAAATCATCTAAAAATTTTGTTTTTGTGCCATCACTATTAAAACAAACACTATGTAATTTTTCAAAAGCATCTCGAGGATTAGCTCCTGCTCCATTTAATATACTGGACAAGTTATTCAGCATAAAACTCTGTTTTTCATCTTTTTCTCCAATGAAGTGCATTAAATGCAGTTTTTTATTCCCTTGTTCATCAAAAAAAGTATTATATAATTCTTCAAAAGCTTTTACAGCATTAGCTGCTGCACCATGCAAGATACTAGATATATTAACTATATTCATTCCTTCTTTTTCTAGAATTTTTAAATATTGTGTTTTATTTCCTTCTGAATCAAACCACAGATCGTATAATCCTTTAAAAGCAGTTGCAGCATTAGCTGCTGCTCTACTTAAAATACTTGACATGTTAGCTAGATTTACCCCTTCTTCTTCAAGAGTTTTTAAACACTGTGTTTTATTTCCTTCTGCATCAAACCATAAATCATATAAGTCTTTAAATGCTTTAGGAGCTTTGACTCCTGCCCCGCTTAAAATACTAGACACATTAGCAAGATTTATTCCTTCTTTTTCTAAAGTTTTTAAATATTGTGTTTTATTTCCTTTTTCATCAAACCAAAGGTCATATAAATGTTTAAAAGCTGTAGAAGCATTAATTCCTGTTCCATTTAAAATACTGGACATACTAGCAAGATTTATTCCTTCGTTTTCTAGACTTTTTAAATACTCCGTTTTATTTCCTTTATCATCAAACCAAAGATCATACAAATCTCTATAAGCTATAGAAGCATTACTTCCTGTTCCATTTAAAATACTGGACATACCAGTCAGATTTATTCCTCCTTTTTCTAGAGTTTTTAAGTATTGTGTTTTATTTCCTTTTTCATCAAACCAAAGATCGTATAATCTTTTAAAAGCTTTTACAGCATTATTTCCTGCACCATTCAATATGCTAGACATACTAGCTAGATTTATTCCTTCTTTGTCTAAAGTCTGTAAATATTGTGTTTTATTTTTTTTCTCATCAAACCAAAGATTATATAATCCTTCAAAAGCTTTTACAGCATTATTTCCTGATCTATTTAAAATACTAGACATGTTCGCTAGATGTATTTTATTCCTTTTCAGAACTTCTAAATATATTTTTCCTTCTCCTTTAATTAAAAAACCTAAAAACTGATGAAATGACGGTGTCCCTTTCCTACCAACCACACTTTTAGCAAAGTTAATTTCTTCATTAATGTCTACATTTTGAATTGTTTGATAACTAGAACAATTGTTTCTAATATCATTCAAAAGCTTTACCATTATTCTCTTTGTAATATAGCCAAATTTCTGAGACTCAGACCAACGTAATGCTACTTCACATAACTCTTCGTAATTATATGGAACATTAGACTTGCTTATCTCATTTCTAATAGCACTATCCAATTCTTCCTTACCAAATTGGTTAACTGCAAATATTAGTCTATTCAAAAATTTCTCTTTTATTTCTTCTATATTTACATCAGAAAGTCTTTCTTCTTCTTCTTCTTTTTGCAAAGAAGATGGTGGTTTTAGTAGACCTAAAACTTTCTCCATAGTCATTTGTTCCTGTTCGAATTGATACAAACAATTTTCATTTATGCATGAACAATCTCTTAAAACTTTATATCTTTTTTTTTGAATATTTATACCATTGAATTTTAAAGGATAAAAATATTTAGATTTTCCTTTTTTAAATCTCCCTTCCTCTGTAAGATTTAGACCTGCATTAGTATAGATAACAAAATATCTCAAATCATTTTTTAACCCTTCAATAAAAAGACCAAAATGCTTATTAACAGAAAACATATTCTCTTTTTCTCGTTCTCTTGTGGGAAATAATTTACCAAAATCAACATCACCAACTGCATTATAAACACTTATATAAATAATTCTATGTTTATAATTCACAATAATGTTACTAGATGTATCATAACTCTTTGTTTCAAAATTTATAAATGACAAATTCTTATGTAAAAACATATCATGCAAAAATGACATTAATAAAGTAAATTCATACATAATTTTTGATACATAGTTTCTAAGTTTCTTGTGCTTTTCTGGAGCTGTTAAGTTACTTAATATTCTTTGCTGTAATGATATATAATCATCTTGAACTTCAATGTTTTCATCTATTTCACTTTTAATAATACTGTTTAACTCTTCTCTACTTGGCTGATTGACTGCAAGTACTAATTTATCTAAAAATGTTTCTTTTATTTCTCTCTCAGAACTTTGAAAAAATTTCCTTTCTTTTATTACTCTCTCCATAGCAGACGGAAATTGTAGTCGCCTTAAAAATTCTTCTCTTGTTGTTTTATCTTGTGAAAACTGATAAAAATCATGTTCTCTCATCTTATTATTTGTAAACAGAAAGTCTTTCAAAATTTCACACTTCTCCACACTCACGTTATCGAATTTAAAAGGAAAAAAGTTTCTGGATCGTCCAGGTTTTAATTTCTTTTCTTCTGTAAGATCCAATCCTGAATTGGTATAGATAACAAGATTTTCCAAATTGTGTAATGAACTATCTAATTTTAAAGTTAAATATTTAATAAAATCCTCAAAGTAATCATTAATAAAGAAACTTCGTCTTTCCTTTTCTTTAGTAAATAATGTAGCATAAGTGATATTGTTATTTACATAATATTTCTCGACATTTTCAATATGTACATGAATAGATTTATTTTTATAGCAGAGGACAATATCATTAAATTTATTAATTTCAGTATCTCCAAAAGATAATGACAAGGAGGGATACTTATGTCTATATATACACTTTCTAAGTGAACAAAGAATAGACAAGTCTATTCGGTACATAAGACTAATTAAAGAATGAGGAACAATTCTGTATTGATTAGTTTCATCGAATTCATCAGATGAATTCTGTAAATCTTTGTGCAACCTCTTCTGCACTATATCATTTGTGCTAATAACTGAATGTTTCCGTTTAACAGCGGTACGTCTAGGTTCAGAATTGTCCATAGTTGATCTTCTTAAATGACAATTTTGCTTGAATGTGGTGATTCTGGGATCTCATAACAATTGTGAAGATGGTTTGCTTAACATAAAATATATATATATCTTTTAGTACGTTATTTATGATGATTCCATATGTGAATTCAGAATATTAAATTCATGTTAACATAATTGCAATAATAACTATAAATGAGTAAAACGAATTCGATTTGAAATTCTTAATCTTGATAATAAAATTATAATTTATAAAATTTTTATTAAAATCAGGTTATGTAAAAGGAAACATTGAAAAATAAAACACAAAACATGCTATAAACAATGCTACTTACCATACTACATATATATATTATAGTTCGTCGGGCTGCATAAATCGTCATCTATACTACATGTACAGTATATACTATATACTATTCTCTCATGGAACAGAGTATAAGCTTGTAAATAAGTATTTTAGCTTTCAATAATGAATAACATGGAAGATTTAATGTCCGATATTTATAATACTCTAGTAAAAATACGATATCCTAAGATTACTACAGCTGTACCTAAGAACGTAGATTCAATGATTCTTAATGGAGAAAATAGAATTTCATTATTATCTTGGCTTCTGATCGAAAAATCTCCGGCTACTGCTACTAAATTACAAAAATTAAAAGGCGTCACTTTAGAAGGTTTTAATTGCGTTACAAATAAATAGACGCATTAATTATCATAATAATAATTAAATATTTTATTTATTTTTTAGCTGAATTATTAAAATGTTATTCTGAAATTGGAATATGCACAGACAAAAATTTATTACTGGTATGTTGTTGGTTACACTGAAATGTTTTAAAACTGTTTCAATAAAAAAACAATAAAACTTGCTTTGTAGGGAAACTGTAAGTTTGAGGAACAACTTCCAACCTTAAGATTGTTATTGGATTTTATGAAATGTGTATTTATTGAATCTTCTGACATTGAATATAAAGAAGAGGAATCCATTGATGATTTATTAAATGTATGCCTTCAAGAAGTTCAGATATACATATACACATATGATAGATTTTAATGTATATAAAGCAATAAATATTAGTTAATATATAAGTATAATATTTTAAATTAGGTTTATATCAATGAAGATCTAAGTACATTGACATCTAATGTTGAACCAAAGTTAAATTATACTGAATCTTTACAATATTTTGATAACTTACAAAAGGAGTTAATTGAATATCAAGAATTATCATCTACCTGTGAATCAAAAAAAGAAGAACAAACAAGAGAATGCATCAGAGAGGTAAAATAGTTCATTGAAAAACGTTGTTGGTAATATGTAAAAACATAAATTTTAATGCTACAGAACGAAGAAAACCAAGGTAGTGAGGAAGATCAAAATTTGCTATTTAACACAGAAAAAAAAAAATTTATAGAAGCTTTTTCCTCAATTGGGTCATGGCCAATGTTTAACACAAAAAGTACAAAAACTAATTTGTATTCCATGGATGCTGATATACAAAAGATATATTCAAATTTTTCCTCTCTAACACAGGTATTTTTATAATTTTCTGTTGTAATGTAATTAACATCACATTCACTTGCTAATTTTGTTTGTACCAAATGGATTTCCAGTTTTTGCAGGCAAAAGAGGAAATATCTAATGCAAGCATACCAAAGGAAATAAGCAAAATAAATACATCGTTAAATGAAATTGTTGGAGATGCAGTCACAGCTACCGAAGAAACCTTGAATGTTATAAACAGCTATTAACTACTAATATTATTTTAATTTACTTAGTTTTTGTAAGTCCTACTCTATACTTTTTTACTTTTATAAAAATAAATGTATTTCAGGGTATAAATAAAATACTAATATTTAAAAACTGATATAATTGTATTAGAAATACATGACAATGTATTTACAATGCAAGTAGTAAAACATTAGCAACTTTTACTACTTTGAATAGCATGCCTGGAATAGTGGGGTAAAGATTACACTTTACACCAATAGGAAGCAGAGGGTGCTGCCCCTTAGAAAATATTAGGTTTCATTTGAGTGTAAAATACATTATCCGTGAATCTATACTCTGTACCAAATAGTAAGGCACCCCTAGATTTTCCGTGTTTCTCAAATTCAGTAATTTTGTAAACATTTTGTGTATATATCCATAAATAATACTCTCTGTTTTTGTAACGTAGGAAAAATTTGTTGTTATCTACGTTGTTTTCCAGAAATTAGAATACACTGAAGAAAAATAATAATTTTATTCAAAAATTGGAGTTTTATTGAAATTTCAACGTATACATTTTCCTTCTCTTTCTATAACTTCTAATAGTCTTTTTAGTAGTCTTTTGTATAGCTTTGTTATCAGTTTTTTAGAAATTTAATTTCAACCTTCCTTTATAGCGATTTTCAATTCTTGTGGCGAATTAAATTATTTGGCACCATGATATACATGACGGATTAATTTCGCCTCATATATTCTCAATACATAATATATAAATTAGGTGACCTTGCTGGCTACCATAAAATAACAATATTGTTTGTATCAAAATATATTTTGACAATTTAAGCTGTATGAACTGCTGCATTGCCATATTGAAATATGTATTCTTCATTATTTATGTGTTCTGCATGTGTCATGATAGCTTCATTCATTAGATAATCTCTACTTTTCATTTTTCCATATACAAATTGTATGGATGTTTTTCCTTTGTAGTTAATTGCACTACAAACCATAAGTCTATCCATCTGTTCTTGTATGAATTACAATTCAATTGTTAATATTTTCAATTTCTTTGTTAAATGGTGATTTTCTCTGCAATTTTCGTCTTTAAATATTTTTAGATTTCTGCAAAAGACAGCTCGCAAAAATCTATAAGAATTTCACAGTGGCAGTTATGAAATTAAAAAAAAAGTAAAAATTTGTGACACAGTGTAAATGTAAGTTAACTGATATATTTTCTTTTTTATGTTAGGTTTAAAATTGAAAATAATTTGTTGAAATCTTTGTAAAAAATCTTCATGATGATCCGATTTCAATTATTCAAGCATCTTCTTTTCGCTGTCCATTCCAAATTCCATTCCCTTTTGTTCTTCCTTGTAGAACTCTATTTTTAATTGCAACAAATAAGATAGAAATATTTTTTTTTTTCTTTATCAGTAGACTCAGATATTACATTTTTAGTACTCACCTGTTTTAAATTTTGAATCTTTTTTATTATTTTTTGGCTCTTTTCTAAATACAAATTATGTTTGTCAACATCATAAAGTTTATCAAAAATTGTTTGTGCTGTATTATAGTATTTTAGTATTATAGTATTTTCTTTTAATTTATTTTGTTGTTCTAAATCACCCAGCCTATCATTTATTTGTGCAATAAAATCTAGAATCTTTTTGATAAATTTTAGATTAGTTTCTCTAATAACCGGGTGAAATTTACTATAATTTTCTTCCTGTATTTTCAAAATTCTTATCTCCCCTGCTAATGATTCATAGTAGTACCGTAAGGCGTCTTTGTATTTATGCTTTGTGTACTTTTCATTAGCAATCAGATAATTTAGTTTTGCCATCCTTCTCATAGTTCCTAAAGTACTTTTAATCTCCATTCCAGATTTTAATTTCTGTATGTTATAAACCTCCTTATAAATCTCGTATGCTACTTTACGATTAAGCTCCTTCTTTCCTCCTTCTTTTTGATACTCCTTTTGAAAACCCATAGACATCCTTATTTCTAGAATATCAAGATATTTTTTATGTTCATTAGATAAAGCTAAAAGATCAACATATCTTTGTGACTTAATTGCATCAATAGAAATCTTTTTATCATATCTTGGAATATCCTTTGTTAAATACAGTGCAAATTTTACAATTTCCTTCCATAAATTTTCGTATTTTTCATAAGATTCTTCAAATTCTTGCAGCAAACTCTTTGTATAAGCTTCACGAGACAAAACTAATAAAAATTGCTCGGTATCGATTTCAGAAGGAACTTCTTTTAAGAAGACCATTGCTTTATTATAATATTCTGTTGCTTCTTCACGTTTATCCTGACGTTTTGCTTCTGACCCTAGAAAATTCATTACTTTCGCTGAATTTAATTTATGCCATACAACAATTGGGTCAACATCCGTTATTAGTTTTTCTTCTTTCAATTTATCATATGTCGATTGTACTAAATCTGCTATTTCTTTTGCTTTCTTATATTCACACTGGTAACACCAGTAAAGAATTGCATTGTTTACTGATCTTAAGATTTCTTTTGTTAATTTGACCACATCGTCAGATAGTTTATTTTTTGAGTCAATTCTTTTTTTTAATACACCTAAAATTTCTTTTACAGGCTTAGATTCTTTACATAGGATATCCATGCTATTAACATTAATATCTTTCTTCTCAAGCATTTTATTACAAACTTCTTCATATAGGTTGTGTTCTGTATTCTCAATAGATAATAATTCGATGAGGTGAATTATATATGAATCCTTTTCTAATAAAATTTCTATCAACTTTCTCAAATCATTTCTTTCGATCACTTTATCACTTTGCACTTTTATTATCAGGCTAGCAATGTAAGGTGCCGTATATTCTATTTGTATTAATTTTTTAATGATTCTAAATACATAATTTTCATCTTTAAATTCAAACTTCTTCTGCTGACTGCCTTGACTACCAACTATTTTTATATCTTGAATTACCAAACAATATAAAAACGTTTTATCATTAAATGCCTCTTTCAAATTATTAAATTTAATTTGATATTTATTGTATGAATTATAAAATGTCTTAAGAATATTAATAACAGTTTCACTAATATTTATCTGTATATTTTTATCAGCAATTAATATATTTACTATCTCATTATATGCGGGCAGATAATTAAATTTATTTTTACTTTTGTACAGGTCAATAACATTTACTGTTGAAAATTGTTCATTTTCTTCTATTTTACTTAAACAAATTATGATATCTTTAACCTTCTCTGCTTGATGTTGAGTTTTTTGGTCAAGGTTTTTATCATTCTTTACATAATACTCAATCACTTTATCAAAATAATTCCCTGTTATTCCATACCCACCTAACTTCTTTCTCAATTCCTCTTGCTTTTCTTTTTTATAGTCCTCATCAAAATTTTGCACTATTTGCTTCAATTGCACGAAATCATCAAATATTTCCCTTTTTTGTATATCACTCAATTCTCTATATTGTTCTGAAATTGTAGTTTCTTCATCTTCATTAACAAACTGATTTATTTCTTCTTCTTTCCAACTATCAATAATAGTCATGAATTTGAAATACTGGTCTACTAATACTTGAATATCATTTTGTTTTGGAAATAATGATTTTTCAAAGTTATATTCAAAACTTTCCCCCTCCTCTGGAGGAACATCATGGGAAAGTTCTGTAAAAAATTTGTTGTCTAAAATCCTTGATTTCTCATCGAGATCCTTCTTTATGCCCTCACTATCTATGCAACATGATGAGCATTGCAACACATCATGTACTCGTTGAGAATAATAGTATTTAAATATGTCAGACCTTAAATTTGATATAGATTTTTTTAATTCCAACTTTCTGACCTTTAAATTCTTATATTCATGAAAATTGTGAAAAAGCTCATTTCTTAAATCTTTTAATTTTTGTAAATTTTCTGGTACTCCTTCTTGGGATAAAAAAGGAATAATATTTACAATAAGGTCAAACATTGCCTCTTCTAATTCTTCTTGCTTTACATTGGTTGAATAAGCGACTTTTACTAGTCTTTCAAATAAATTGTAAATGTTCTTAGTTAGTTTGCTCTTAGATTTATGAATTTCTGAATCCAATAATATTTCAGTTAGATCTTTTATATCTGATTTACTTTGTTTTTTATTAAGACTCTCAGATACTTCCTCTGCATAATTTTTTAAACTTATAAAAACTTTTGCTACTGAACTATGCATTTTGGTAAGCTTTTGTAGATTTTTAGGCTCAATTATCATGTTTGTATCTTTTGGATGAACAAGACGAGTTCTTAAAGATCTAATAAGTTCATAATTTTTTTGTCCAAAACATTTTATCAATTCATCTTTTTGTGCTTTTTCTATTTCGTTGTTTATTTCTACATCTTGTAATGCAAATGCTTCTAAAAAGAGCAAAAAAACATTTGCATTTTTATGAGTAAATTTTTTTATATCTTCTTCACTCTTTGTTAATTCTTCAAGAGCTTGTAAGGAAACTTGTATCTTTTTTATAATCTTTCCTTTTACATCTGTTTCTACCTGTAAGATACTTTCATTTATAGTGTTAGAAGAAATTACTGTCTCTAAATTATTAAGAGCATTGCACAATACTTTCTCTTCTATTGCTTCCATAATATCTTGCTTTTTGCTCTCTTTAGCAATATTAAGTGGAGTTCTATTCTCGTTATTCTCAATATCAATATCGACGTACATTTCATTTATAACATGCTGAACAACTTCCAAATTACAACTCTCAACTGCATAATGTAAAACAGTATTACCTTCTGTATCAGAAAAATTAATATCTGCTCCTTCCTTTACAAGTTTTTTTACCTCTTCCAATTTACCTTCACCTGCTGCAATAAGTAATTTTCCATTTCTAAGCCTTTTTTGAAAACACATTGTTACATTACTATCACTTTTTTTATACTCGAATTTTCAATGAACTCTATGATTATTCTAATCAACTATTATAAAAATCAATTTAATTCTTTGATTCTGCTTCAAGAAAGGCGTATAAGAAGGGTAGCACCTTCACTATCTTTGATTGATTGATTGATTGATTGATTCTTGTTGCGGGCGTCGACTACTGTGGTCATTAGCCCGTTCACTATCTTTATAATTAATATTGCTGTGTATGTTTATCGAAAAGTAAAGAATAATATTTTACTGACAATTAACGAATACTATTATTATTATAGAAAATATAAATTTGACTCCTCATTGATTTACAAAAACGCAGGCTATTATTTCGAAATCAACTGTTTTTAATAATGACTGAGGGGGTGTGGTGAGCAAGCTAGGAATTACCCTACATCACTATGAATTTATATCTTGGGTTGACATACAGCGACCAGTGTCGCCAATTGACCTTTATAGACGTGCTATCTAGTGATAGTTAGATTAAGTATATCATTAGTCACTAGTTTGTAAGTTTTATATATGATAGTTGGTAAGATTGTTTTTAAAAGAAACGTGCAATTTTTCAAAAGTATCCTGTTTCACCTAATATCATATTATAACGTAGAAACATGTCCGCGAGTTATGCTGAGACATTGTATGCATGCTCGAAAACAAGACAGAAAAATATTATGTGTACTCTTACAATGATAACACAGTAAAACCCTTATTAACAAACCTACGAAGTTTCATCAAAATCGGAGGGGGACACTTACGTGCCTTTCCTTGTTAGTAATTAAATGTTTACTATTTAATTGTAAAAGATAAAAATCCTTAAATCACCGTCTTTTTCCTATCTTTTTTTTTGTAAAATCTATACCTGCATCAGTATAAATAAACAAATATTTTATACCATTTTTTAATGTCCCAATAAAAAAAGATAAGTGCTTATTAGTAGAAAATGTATCTCTTTTCCCCTATCATATGGAAAGGAATAATTGACTATAACCAATAATACGGTTTGTGGTATAAGCTTCTACATTAGTAATATTACCTGTATAACAAATAGGTCAAAATTTGCTACTTAAGACAAAAAAAAATTTATAGAAGCTTTTTAACAGAATGGTGATGTTTAACAGAAAAAGCAAAAAAGCAAGTTTGTATTCCATTGTTACTGAATACAAAAGATATAATATATTCAATTTTTCCTCTCTGACACAGGTATTTTTTAGAATTTTCTGTTGTGATGTAATTAACATTACATTCACTTACTAATTTTGTTTGTACCAAATGGATTTCCAGTTTTTGCAGACAAAGGAGGAAATATCTAATGCAATCATACCAAAGGAAATAAGCAAAATAAATACATTGTTAAATGAAATTGTTGGAGATGCAGTCACAGCTACAGAAGAAACCTTGAATGTTATAAACAGTTATTAACTACTAATATTATTTTAATTAACTTAGTTTTTGTACACCGTACTCTGTATTTTTCTACTTTTATAAAAATGAATGTATTTCAGGGTATAAATAAAATACTAATTTACTTAAAAACTGATATAATTGTGTTAGAAATACATGACAATGCATTTACGATCTGGGTCGTTCTTTCTTTTCTTTGTACAATGCAAGTAGTGAAACATTAGCAACTTTTACTACTTTGAATCGTACTCCTGGAATATCACCCACAGCATGACCCTTACGACCAAATCCTGCTACTAGAACTTCATCGTTTTCTTCTATGTTGTTTAAACAACCATCTCGGGGCACAAAAGCTGTGATCTTTTTTCCATTTTTGATAAGCTGAACTCTTACACACTTGCGAATAGCAGAGTTTGGCTGCTTGGCTTCAACTCCTCTAAAGAATAAAGTTAAAAAATTAACATATTCACATAACACATGATGAAAAAAACATTTATAAGATTACTACATACACTTTTTCTAAAACAATACCCTTGGCATGGGAAGCACCACCAAATGGATTGGCCTTCCATCTTGTTCCCAAGTGAGCCTTTTTATAGTCTTTATCGTTCCATCGTTGATCACGTCTATGATTTACATGCTTACGTGCAGTACGAAGCCCACGTGGTTTACCTACACGACAAAAACGTTATGCATCGGATTTAACTGTCATCTTACAATTAAATATAACATATTATTTATATATTATATCATTAACAGAATAAAAAATACTGTTAAGCATAAGTAGAAATGAAACAATAAAACTGATTTTATTAAACTTCGTATAGTTCGTATAACAAACTATGCATACATAACCTCGTTATCTTAAGTTAGACATAAAGCAAGGTATATTATCTTTTGCGAATGGATATACAAGAAAATTATAATTACATGTGTTATAGAACCGATTAACATATTACAAATTTCATTAATTGTCTTCCACACTTACAAAAACAATATAAATTTCAACATTTGTAACGTACCCATTTTGCTTGATGTGCTACACGGCCGGAAAAGAACTAACCCTCCTTTACGGAAATCAGAATTTACATAAATTTTACCGCTATATTTGAAAAAAGAATATTTTTATCATCTGAAATTAATTACAGTAATTAAAATTTATTAAAGTAAGTAATCAATTTTTCAAAAGAAAATTACATAAAAGATTATAACAAAATATAAGATTTGTTAAATAAGAATATAAATATATATTTTCTTTTAGATTCGAGTACAAGTCTGACTCCCCTGTGGAAAGTAACAGTTAAAGGAAACAGACCATTACCGTTCGCAATAACATTTAATTTATAAAAGGCATTTTCGAAATTGATAAATAATACAGATTTCGTAAGTAATGCTTACTTTTAATTGTAATCTGTTATGTTGCATATTTTACGTTTCAGAACGGCAATTTTAAGAACTACATAATAATGTAAATTAACATTTATTTATAATTAAATTTTACATTCAAGTTTACATTTATAAGGGAAGAATTGCGATGATTTAAAATGTAAACAAGACAATAAATTATAGTTTATTAAAAGAATTAATTTAGAAATGTAAATGCATTTTGTAATTTCTATTTTCATACGCATTTCAAGATTGAAATTTCCACGCTTGCTAGCTGAAAATATGGTGGCAGCTTTTACTTCTTTTCAATCGTTTCGTCGAAAAGTAGACTTTCACGCATAATATAGTAAGTTTGTAAAACATTTTCTTTCATAAACAAAGAACTCGCACTTTATTGCGATACGCGCAATGCATTTAGTTTTTATAATTGGTTTAGTGCACTAGTTTTTGACCACTTTTGATAAATGTACAGTTAATTGCAGTTAATTAAAATTAATGAATCGTGTGATTATAAAACATAAATTTGAATAAAAAAACTATTCTATTATACTGCGAAAGAACTATAGTGTGTCGTTAATCATCTTGTTTCGCGGCAGTCGATAACGTAAAGATCTAGCTGAAGAATAGAACCCTGCTTTACTAACCGTCGTGTATACAACTAATTAACGGTACACTATACTTATTTTGGAGGTGTAGTGAATAATTTCCTTATTCTCAATTTATTATTTACAATATTGCAGCTTATTACATTACACTTAGGAAAAAATACAAACACACACTACACTAAATGTAAAAATTTAGACAATGAATATGAAAGTACGCCTGCATCACTGTTTTATGCGTTCAAGTTCGTAGTGCGTTTCACGATAGATTCAGTTCTCTTTTGATTAAAGTTTTCTCTGCATTTTTGTTTCGTTTTCCTCTAAAATTTAAAATGGGATCCAAATATAGATTATGGATAATATGGGTTCATCTATTTTTAAATATATTTATTAACATAGCTTTACATTAAAATTTAATATTTACAATTTACTATAAAATTAATATATTTTTTCTAAAATTACACACAAACGTTAATTAATGCATTAATTAAAATGAATATAAAAATATGTAGTGTACCATAAATTATTAGAGTGTAAAGTATGTAGTTTTTGTAATGAAAGTGTTTGCAAATATATGATTATGTACAAAGTAAATAAATTGTAGTGTAGTATTATAATTGTTCTGTTAACCTTTAAAAAAAAATGGAATTTTAATAACATTTTAGATATGAAAGTATGAAAATTGTAATTTAAATATACCTTGGTTTTTTTATTGAGTCCTCAGTCTCATTCTCTTTATAATCTACGAATAAGGTACGATTTAACTGGAAAAAATAAACACATGAAAATGAAATTGAACATATAACAGCAAATAGAAATAATTATAAACTTACATTTTTATCTCTATTTTGACAACATTCTGGATTACAATTGCAGTTACTGCAAATAACTTTGTTTTTACGACATGAACAAAGGCGCGTAGCACATTTCGTTTTACAAGAACATTTTATATCTCCATCTGATGATCGTTTTAATGTCGTATGATCCAATGAGGAATTTTTTGTTGTGCTCTAAAAATAAATGAATAAGAAAAATATTAAAAATATTTTTAAATATTTCTCATACATAACTTAACATTTTGTTAATTCAATTTAAAAATTAACAATTTTGTTTATTTTAGCCAATTACCAAAAGCTTTTGTATACGATTATAGAGTGGCGTCTGTGTCCAATCTGGATCATTTTCGGTATCATCATTTTCTACAATGCTATCATCTGTTGCAGGGTATATAAATTCTTGATCGATTTCTACAGTTTTCTTCGCTTTTTTTGTACCTTTTGGTTTCGACACTTCGCTTGTGTTTTGAATTTCATTTAACACCTGCAAGATTTACAATGTTGTAGTTTATAATTTATATGATCATGTAGACTGTTATTAAAATTTAAAAAGTGTATTAACCTTTTGTTCCAACTGTTGACATTTTTCTTTATAGTACTTTAATTCTTCTTGCAAATTGATATTTTCTTCATTATCATTCTGTGTAATATAATTTGTGTTGCTTATTATTGATTGTCCGTTTTGTTCTTTCGCCTGATACTCGTCCAATTGCGTTTGTAATAATGTACACTTTTCCTAAAATTATGTTTTTAATTAGACATGTAACGAAAGTTGTATATCAAAAAATTATTATTACATTTAACTGCCATTAAACTAATAAATTTATTAAATTTATTAGATTTATTACATATGCAAAATGCACAAACCAAAAATTCGGACTCTTTTACACACTGTTTCCTTCTATCTTCTGCAATGTGTTTAAACAATAATTTCAAAGCAGCTTTCGCATCTTCCATTGTTTGTATTTTTTGCCACCTTTGATGTGATCTATTTTCTAAACAAAAACAAAAAATATATAAACAAATATCTAAACACGCAAGTACTTAGTACATTCAATTTAAGAAAATATTTACCTTGATCTGATTCAATTATTTTTTGCTGTAAATCGGAAATTTGTGTATTACGTAAATCTAAAAATTGTGTAAGTTCAACAATTTTTTGTTCATTTGTATTACTATTGTTTTGAAATTTATCCAGCATACATGCTAATGATGCTCTATCTTGCATTAATTTTTCAAGAGAATGTTCTGCGTCAACTGTGCTCACTAATATTTCTATTTCTTGTATTAGCCAATTTTTAATTTTATCGACATTGTTTGTTTTATCTCTTCTCATTGCAGCTCTTTTTTGCAAATCAAGAGCTTCCTAAGAAAAAAATAAAATTGTAATTATTTTCATTACAAAATGTTAATCGTATTATTTTTATAAGAATATAATTTTATAACGTGACGTTCTTTTCAAGGAAAAGGCTTAAGATAGCCACGTTACTCGGCGTATGAACTTCGATGCAAGGCGGTACAGAGCGATTTATCATGTAATACAAAAGTCATTAAACACGACCTCCCCATGATCCGCGTTAGGCTACAAAAAGAGCACTATTTTTAACGAAAGACAAAATCAGTTAGGAATTGACCATGGCCTAGTTAACAACTCTGTGAGGTGTCCTGCAAGCACAGTCAACAAGACTGAGTAGCATTCACTCACAGGTAACTTGGTAATAGGAATCGTACATTGTAAAAGTTATTTGACTCGACGCTTCAGCCACGAAAAGTACGTCATTTTCTCGACACGATTATCGTTAAGCGAACGATTGAAGTTGTAATTTTAATATATTACCTTTAAACGTTTGTTAACTGCAAAAGCTTCTTCCATTTTTCTTTTGAATACTGTCTCCTGCTTATTATGCCACATTTTTAAACGTGTTACTTCGTTTACTTGCTTTCTATTTTGATCTTTCAATTTATTCAATTCCTTTTCTTTAATTGTTTTCCATTTTGTAAATTTATCGGATTCAATACGCATCTGTCTAATTAATTTCACTCTTGTCTGCTTTAATAACTGTGTTTCGTTCAGTAGATTTTTTATCTGTTGATCTTGTTTTTCCTTCATTTTAACTATTTTATCTTGCTCCATTACTTTCCGCCTTAATTCTGTTATTTTTTTTTCTAATTCTTGTACCTTTTTACGCCGACTTTCTGCCAATCTAGAAATATATAAAAATAACGGATAAGACAATTTAACTTAAAAAAATATACTAAATATTAATATGACCGATAAAAAGTAGTTGCTATATGTATTTAAATTTCTTACTTTGAGCTCGCATTATTTGCATGAACATTTTGCAATGTTTGTAAAAGTTCTTCCTTTTCCGTTTGAAGTGCTTTTATTTCCTGTTCCATATCTTGCTTTTCTTTGGAATAATCAATTACATGAGACGAGTTTTTTAAAAGCTGACATATAAGACTTTCTTTAATAGCTAGTTCTTTATTTATATTTTGCACTTCGTTATTTCTTTTAACTTGAAGCAGAGTATGTTCTTCCTGTTTCTCATCGAAATCGTCTAAGCTATCTGAAATTTCTGAACTTGCCTCATCTATGGACGTCTGTTCCGAAACTTCTTCATTATTTGCCGTAAATGATTTTATATTAACAGTTGATGATACACCATGATTCATAAGTTCCTCTGTTGTTTTCTTCTGATCATTTTGAATATCTGTTTATTAAAAATAAAAAGAATATTTCTCTAACAGTATTGATAATTTTATTAATGAAACAAATAAGAATGATTCTACTTACCAAGAATTTTTAAATATATTGCTTCTAGTTTTATATAATATTCACTATGTGTATTAGGATTTTTATTGAAATCATCCATAAGTTCTTTACATTCTTCCAATATCTTGCTCATAACAGACTGAATTTTTTCTCTAGCTTGTTCGGCTAATTCTGCTCGTTCATGCATAATTATTGCTTCAATTAAATTTGCATTTAATTTTTCTGTCAAATCCTTTATCTTTTGTTGCAAAGACTGATTTTTTACTTCAAGTTCTTGATGTTCAATTGGACAGGAAACATTAATTTCTTGTCCTACTAAAGCCAGCTTCAGTTCCTGCACTAATTTATTCAATCGATTTATTTCTGCTACTTTTGGATCTTGATTTACTACAGGTTTATTTTTTATTTTACGTGCTCTATCTGCATATCTTAATGTACTTAAAGTTTCATCTAAATTATAATCTGTAAATATTTCAAATATAACATGAATTATTTCAACAATTATTACTAAAAATTTTATATTATGAACATTGTACATGTAACAACCTGCTGGACTAACACACGCTATCATCAATGTCATAGAGTTACCGCCAAGAGAATCTTGTAACAACCTAGTGAGTTTGCTGTCTCGATAACCAACATAAGACATGGAACCACCCTCTCCTAACTGAGATATCACATTTCCTAATGCTAATAAACCTTTATTTATATTAACACCTTCTTTAAATCTTTCTCCTGTTGCCTGAGTTTTTTTGCTACGTTCAGAACCAGCTAAATCTACCAGATGAAACTTAGCTGTTGTTGCCATATTACTAATAATAAAAAAATAAGTTGTAAATAATCAATACTTGTAATATTATTTTACAATCCTCAATAAACTTACGGATCGGTTTTGTTTTGTTGATATATACATAAAGTAAATATTGCATGACTTCGACTACTATTTGCATTCATTGCAGTAGCTCCTGTTGCACGACCTAGTGATCCTTGCGTTAAACACTGTAATGTTTCAACAGCAGTTTTGACTTCCTTTTCTACAACTCCAGCAACTTTTATATTTTTTCCATCATCTCTGATATCAACGATAGATTGATTGCGCTGTTTATCAGCCAATAAATCATATAACTGTTCTTGATAAAGTTCCATAAACGAAACTGTAATTTTAAAATTCCAGTCTTCCTTTGATGAAATTATACTGAATATATCATGCACTGCTCTTGGTATAACACCCATATCTTCTGCTTCAACATAATTTGTACCCATTGAATGAGTTTTACCACTTCCTGTCTGACCATAGGCTAATATAGTGACATTGTAGCCTGTTAAAATATTTGTATTTTTATAATCTAATCGATTTAAAATATTAAAATACACTGATGTCAATATCTATAATCCTACCTTGAAAAATATTTTTTACCATATCTTTAATGGCAGTATTATAAAAATCTTCCTGACCAATTTCAGGAGGAAAAACATAATTAAATGTGAAAGCTTTATCTGTATTTTGTATAACTATCTGAGGTTCACCAGGGACAACATTTAGACATATCTGACAACCCCTCTCAACTTCAGTCTTTACTAAAGGACGGATACGCACTGCAACTCGAACTGTATCTTCGCTCATCTGAAATAAAAAATTTTGAACTACAATCTCTTTTTAAATTTAAACTACATAATATATTCTAAATAATTATTTAAAATACATTATATAGAAATTTCATGAAAAAAAGTCATTAAAAATTGATAGATTAACTGAATTTTAACAATTTAAATTTTTATTCTTTTCCAGAAGCTTAAAGCAGTTTAACACGTTCACGCCGGGGCAAATATTTACATTTTTCTTTGTGGGGTGGGGCGACATTGTTACTCCTTTGAAGCTTTGATCACGCTAAATACGAGATCAAAACAGTTTTGGCATGCTTATAAATAAATAATTGTTATCAATTTAAAATCACAATTAAGTGTGACCCACTGGTGGGTCACGCCATCCCTCAGAACGTCAAGTGTGACCCACCAGTGGGTCACGCCAACATGATCAATTATTTTATAAAAATTCAGTCATCCCCTAAATTCATTACATAGCAATGTAGAAATGTTCATATTATTTGTAAAATATTTAAATATAAGTTGAAATACAATGTATAATTATATGTTATAATACCATACAATTATAAAAGGCATTTATTTCTAGTATATAAAAGTATAATAAAAAATTCTGCTTTTTTAAGAATTAAGGGTATAAAAATATGCCTTCAAATTTTTTAAATTTTTTTCAAAAAATAATTTAAATACTTATATACTTGATATAAAAAAGGTATAGTTGGACCAGTATAGAAAAATGGCTCCTCAATGTTGTAATATGAGTCAATATTTAAATAGAATGTGAAGAACATTTATATTTAGAAAGCACATGGTACACTTTCTTTTCTGACACTGTTCTATAAACTTCTCTGTCACAAAAAAGAAAAAATGTGCTAGCTTATAATACTTTAAATTAAAGCTTCAAATCAGAAAAACATAAGTATTATTTTATAGTACTCATATGTCATCAAAATTCTATCATACTTTCTTGTTCCAAAATTGTTCATTTTACATGTGAAAACCTACTACATGATAGTTCTTTAACAATGAGCTACTTTTTCATTTATTTAGTCATTTTCATCAAATTTGTTGTCATTTAAGCTTCAAAATAATATTAGTATTTATATATAACATTAGTATTTTTTGTAATTGACAACCATTACGATATATTTAATGATATATTTTGTATCATTAATATTAATATATAATATTTTTGTATAGACTTTCTTCTCAAATTTTAAGATTCAGACTAATATGCTACAAGTTCTATTTTACAGTATTCTTACATTATCAAATTGTGTGACTCTATTTTTAAAAACCCATATTTTATATGTTCTATCCTAATAACTATTCCTTTTTTCATGTAAATTATTTCTTTGGAATATTCTATTTACAGAAGTATTAAGGTATAATGTTGAGCAAATTAACAGTGCATTAAGTACTTTAAATTAAAAAATGATACACTTTATAAAAGATCTTAACAATGTTATGGATTGCTGACATTTTTAATATAACTCTTTTATATCTTAAAAATAATCCAAAATTGGTTCATGAAGTTAAATATATTATTTACTCATAGATTTCCTGACACGATGTTGGTGATAGTTTACTATCGAGAGTCATTTACACATCACTTATCCGGCTATACCCTTATTGTATTAATATGATAAAAGTAAATATATCACTCACTTTACTTTATTTGATGTAAAATAATTATTACTGTAGTAATAAATTAAGTACTGTATTAAATGTACTTTCTTCAAATAAATTAATAATAACAAATAATAATATATTTAGAATTATTATTGTCATGCAACCAAATAACTTTATACTAAACAACTAAACGACCGTTGGAGAGTGAGCGGAATAATTTCAAATCATATATGTGCCAAACACCTTGGAAGAGGGCGCTTTTTAACAATGCATGTAACATTGTGAACCAAAAAGTCTCTAAATTAGAAATTATAGTCTAGTGGAGCGACGGATCAATCGACCTAGACTACAGTTCTGAAAATAGCATGCAAAAGAAATTATGGTGAAATATTACTTTTTAATAAAATGCCATTGGCAGTAGGAATTCGTGTTTTTCACATTTTTGAAAAATAGATATCTACCTAATCAAAAACACACAAGATAAACAAAGGTCATCGAACTTCTGTAACTCACCGCATGATGTCATTAAACTCACATCTAGGTTCTTTTTGTCACTAGCGTCGATCGTCTAGAGGCTAGAGTCTACACGATCCTTATTTATCCTGCGTTGCTTCATGTACAAAAAATTAGAATAGACATTCAAAAGTGCGACTTCGCGATCTAAAAATTTAAGGCGAAGAAGCAATATTTTTTCATGCTTTTTTTTGAAAAAATTCAATCACAGGATAAGAATAATCCACCAAGTGATTATACTATGTTATGTCATGAAATATAAATAAATAGGAGGAAACCTTTATTCTGTCCCGGTGGAGGTGCGATTTGAACAATGACTACGTTTCCATCGAGGGTCCAAATCGGGTCAGAGTCGGGTTAGAGTCGGGTTAGAGTTAAGTTGCCTTGCCTGTTTCCATGGGATCAGAGTTACGTTGGGGTTGGAGTTGAGTTGAACATTACCAACTGCACAAAGTCAACTACCATATTCTAACATGTAAAGCTGAGCAATATTAATTTTAGAATATCAAAATAACATACAAAAATTATTTCTCAGATTACAAGATCACCGACAAAAAGTAATAATAACCTCTTTTACACCGATTAATACAACACGTGATACACAATGCAATTTGGATTTGTTATGTTGGCAACACGAACTCGACTCTTGTCGTTTCCACCGAACCTCAACTGAACGCTACCCTAAAATTTTGTAGGGTAGAGTTCAACTAAACCTTTGGCGTTTCCACCGTACAAGCGCTGACCCCAACCCGACTCTAACCCGACTCTGACCCGATTTGGACCCTCGATGGAAACGTAGTCATTGTTCAAATCGCACCTCCACCGGGACAGAATAAAGGTTTCCTCCTATTTATTTATATTTCATGACATAACATAGTATAATCACTTGGTGGATTATTCTTATCCTGTGATTGAATTTTTTCAAAAAAAAGCATGAAAAAATATTGCTTCTTCGCCTTAAATTTTTAGATCGCGAAGTCGCACTTTTGAATGTCTATTCTAATTTTTTGTACATGAAGCAACGCAGGATAAATAAGGATCGTGTAGACTCTAGCCTCTAGACGATCGACGCTAGTGACAAAAAGAACCTAGATGTGAGTTTAATGACATCATGCGGTGAGTTACAGAAGTTCGATGACCTTTGTTTATCTTGTGTGTTTTTGATTAGGTAGATATCTATTTTTCAAAAATGTGAAAAACACGAATTCCTACTGCCAATGGCATTTTATTAAAAAGTAATATTTCACCATAATTTCTTTTGCATGCTATTTTCAGAACTGTAGTCTAGGTCGATTGATCCGTCGCTCCACTAGACTATAATTTCTAATTTAGAGACTTTTTGGTTCACAATGTTACATGCATTGTTAAAAAGCGCCCTCTTCCAAGGTGTTTGGCACATATATGATTTGAAATTATTCCGCTCACTCTCCAACGGTCGTTTAGTTGTTTAGTATAAAGTTATTTGGTTGCATGACAATAATAATTCTAAATATATTATTATTTGTTATTATTAATTTATTTGAAGAAAGTACATTTAATACAGTACTTAATTTATTACTACAGTAATAATTATTTTACATCAAATAAAGTAAAGTGAGTGATATATTTACTTTTATCATATTAATACAATAAGGGTATAGCCGGATAAGTGATGTGTAAATGACTCTCGATAGTAAACTATCACCAACATCGTGTCAGGAAATCTATGAGTAAATAATATATTTAACTTCATGAACCAATTTTGGATTATTTTTAAGATATAAAAGAGTTATATTAAAAATGTCAGCAATCCATAACATTGTTAAGATCTTTTATAAAGTGTATCATTTTTTAATTTAAAGTACTTAATGCACTGTTAATTTGCTCAACATTATACCTTAATACTTCTGTAAATAGAATATTCCAAAGAAATAATTTACATGAAAAAAGGAATAGTTATTAGGATAGAACATATAAAATATGGGTTTTTAAAAATAGAGTCACACAATTTGATAATGTAAGAATACTGTAAAATAGAACTTGTAGCATATTAGTCTGAATCTTAAAATTTGAGAAGAAAGTCTATACAAAAATATTATATATTAATATTAATGATACAAAATATATCATTAAATATATCGTAATGGTTGTCAATTACAAAAAATACTAATGTTATATATAAATACTAATATTATTTTGAAGCTTAAATGACAACAAATTTGATGAAAATGACTAAATAAATGAAAAAGTAGCTCATTGTTAAAGAACTATCATGTAGTAGGTTTTCACATGTAAAATGAACAATTTTGGAACAAGAAAGTATGATAGAATTTTGAAGCGACACTATCGCCACTTTATTTGTTCTTTTTGCATTCAATTACTTCACGTTCTAAAAGTGTGGTCGTATCTTTAAGGTTTTAGTTAATTCATGGTGTAAGTGCATCTGATTTTCTTCCATTTGATTCGACCGGTGATTACGTTTAAGAAAGCTAACGATAATATGGATTGTAGTTGTCAAAATTCAAATTTCAATACTAAATATTTACTTGGTCAATTAAATACAGCCAGAAAAGAAATTAATAATTTAAGGTAATATTTTAAGTATTTCACTGCACATTGCATTTATAAATTCAAAGTATTATTGGAAAAGATATATCAACAAGTTTCATTCAAACGTGCTAGTTTGTATATATCTATAGTTTCTTAGTATGTACAAATATAAATAGGTGCCATTTATGTATATATACAATTATACAAATAATTTATATTATGCAGTGTTTTTACAATATTACATGCTATACCTAAGTAAAGTAAATAGTATAAGCTGACAAAAATTATACCTCTTACTTGTTCTAATTGATTGCCATATTGTATTTTTTAATTGCACACAAAATAATTTCTTTTATTTACAGGCAGCAAATAAAAAGTCTTCGATACATACATGAAAAGGAAATCGATACTATAAAACATATATTAGAATCATTCAAAAATGAATCTTCTGCATCTGATACAAAAGTTATTGGTCCAGATGATGTGAAACCTAGTACAAGTACAGATGATGATGCTATAAGATTAAAGCCAATTGGAGTAATATCTACTTGGTTTCCTAGTAAACGTGGTACCCCTAGACAAACAGGGATTTGTGGGAAAGTACCAGGAAAATTATTGTTATATAATTCAGTATTTACTAATCCTGATCATGCACTTGAAGGACTACAAGACTTCTCACATATGTGGTATTTCTTTAAAATTTTAAGTCAATATTATCTTAGTTGAAATCTACAAGTGGAAAAATTTTAAATATTTTATATCAACCGATAAAATATAATTTGTGTTACGTAGTATAATTATTTTTTACATAAATATAGATAATATTGTTTCAAATTCTAACCCATTGAAAAGTTTTATAATACTTTCAAATATGGAAATTTATTTGTTACAATATAATTAATTTAAAATTATTTTTGTTTAATAGGGTTTTATTCTACTTTCATAGAAATGATTCAACGCATATTCGTGCCAAAGTTGCACCACCTCGATTAAATGGCACAAAAACTGGTGTATTTTCTACCCGTTCTCCTCATCGCCCATGTCCTATTGGTTTAAGTTTAGTAAAGATTACAAGAATAGAAAATCATACGATTTATTTTGAAGGTGTGGATATGGTGGATCAATCACCTGTATTAGATATAAAACCTTATATACCACAATATGATAGTCCATTATATTTTGAAAAAGCAAATAACAGATCACAAGAATCGACTAATGTAAATGACACATTGGAATCTATTGAAGATACTAGCAGAAATGAAACAATCAGTGCTAATGTCAATCTTGGAGATGAAACAAGGAACTTACTTTCAGATTCTTATTATAGAAAAAATACCAACAAAAGCAATCAAGAAACAGATATTTCTAGAGACGAAGAAATTGCTTTTAGATTACAAGCAGAGGAATTTCAAAGAAATTCTAATTTTGAACATTACAACAACGTAACACATTTTTTTGAATTGAGTGATGTCAATATGCATAATAGTAGCATATTACAGCATAATATAGATGTAACAGGAATACACAGATTATCTCACACATATACTAACACATTGTCTGATGCAAGATCAAATTTGAATACATCTACTGGAAACAATACACTTTCATCTAATTTGGAACAACAACCTGAAAGTTTAATAGATATAAATAGTAGACTACAAAATATTAATGCGAGTAGTCATACCAATGTCGAACCGACATATACACCGAGAAATAATTATATAGAGACACATGCTTCCCGCTCTAGACTTTTGGATGGTGCAGATGGGCCAAATACTGTTTGTGGTACCGACATAGATTTAATTAATAGACGATCATTAAATTCGAGAATTGATAATTCCCCTATAAGAATGGGAGTTCGAGAAGCTCCTGACGGAGAAGAAGGTTTGGAACCACAAAACCTTATTTCTTCACAACCTTTACAAAATACTCAAGTAATAAGGACTACATCAGACAACAGTTTGTTAGATAGTGCAAATACAAATTTAGTATTCTCGTCTGAATCAGGAAACGTTGAAAATAGAGAGACAGAATCTAATACCTCTTCAGAGGTAAGAATTCCAGACTGGATATCAAGACCTCGAACGCCTCTTTGTGTGGTATTTAACGATCGTGCTTTGATTCAATTGAACGAAATTTTAGGAACCAAAATTAATGATCAAAAAGTAGCAATTGAAAATGTACTTCGTGAAGATCCAAGATCGGTATACTTAAGACAAAGATGGGGTAGTCAGTTTTATACTTTCTTAATTCATGATTTACATATCACTTGTAGATTTGATGATAATAGAGGTATAGTTACAGTTTTTCAAGTTAGACATGCTGGTCGTATTTGTGAATGTGGAGAACTTGAATGGCAATGTTTGGGTCATTCACCACCACCGTCTTAATGTACGCGAACGCGTGCATGTATTTGTGAATGTGTACATATATAACGTATGCACATATACTGTAGATAATTTTAATTCGACACATTTTTAAATTGTTGGTTATATCATGTAAAAACCGAATAATTTTATTTGTACAGCTATAGAACATTTTATATTGCATTAATCTATATTATTCATTTTTTTATGAACTTTCATTATTATTCTTCAAAAACTATTGAAGAATAATGTTCTTTTGCTATTTATAATTAAAATTTCTATTTATGCCGTATGTAATACAATTTTTGAATAATTTATATACCTTAATAATTTCTATTATTGGTCAGATAAAAAGGAATAATCATCTGAGATCAATTTCTTTAATTCATTTCAAATTAGTTTTCATCTTAAACATTTAACTCAGTAAACTGTACAATTATATAGGTGTTTTATATGTTCGTTCATATTGTTCCTCTTATGTTTCTATTCTTACGTTTATTCTAATAAAGTTAATACATTTTTGCATTATAGAAGGTAGTCTCAGGTGTTTTTTAAATATTCTAAAACTTCTATATTTTTAAAAGATTTATTTGATGTTTTATTAGGAGAATCTTTGTATAATAAATTATCAAGAATATTGTAAATTATGTTATATAAAATTAGATAAATCTTTTATTATTTTAATTGTGGAATATTTATTGTACAATTTTAGTATAATGAAACTATCATATAATTATTTGTTGCTATATAAAAGTTCCTATACATTTAGTTTTTGTAAACAATTACAATGCACAAGTTATGTTTAAAATTTTCATACAGAAATAAAATAAATGAAAAAATTTATTTCAATTTTTATAGTATTATAAAAATTGTTATGTTATTGTTCATATACAAAGTTTTCTATTATATTTTATTAAACAAACGCACAAAATAGTACGTTCGATTATTAAACAAGTAGTATATTATAATTTAAGTGTACATTCGGATTGTTGAATCCGCACCGGCAGAAAATACCCATGGTTGAATAGGATGAAACATTACGTCCAGAATTCCAAAATCATTGTAACTTTCATGATTACATAATCTCTTCAAAGGTACAATCAATGGATTTTGCAATAAATCACTAAAATGTATCATAAAATGAATAATATATAACGAATTTTAATGTGAAATAATTATATGTATAATAGATTATTTATCTTACTTATACACCATTCCATGGGAAACAATAAGACCTCTATCGTCAGCACCAGATGCAAAAAGAGGATATCGCTTGTGAAATGCAACACCTCGTACACCTGTACCGTGTAAACGTAATGTTTGGTAAGGTTTTGTACTCAAATCAAGATCAAACCAAAGCATTTTGCGATCATAAGTGCCTACTAAAACATTATCACCTCCTAAAAATATAAAAGTAATTATTAAATGTAAATTACGTTGATGGCAATAAGTTCATAAAATATTTAATTACCAGGATGTATTGCCATTGATGATATCCATTGTGAATTTGATAATAATTTTTTAATCATTTCTTGTTTCACTAAATCGTATATTCTTACATTACGTTGAGTCTGTAATTATATTAATGCAACCATTAAATCAAAATTTTTCTCTATTTTATTTTAAATGTTTACTTACCGCTACAAATAAATAAGGTCTAATTGGATGGAACAAAACACACTGTATTAAACCTTTTGATCTATTAAAAGGTAATTGAGACCTCCTTTTTGATAACTGATTTATGAGGACTGATCTGTTTTGACCATCTGGCATAACAGTAGCAAAATAATCACCTTTACCATGCCATGTCACTTGCTTTACTATTTTAAAGTGATTTAAAATTACCCTGATGCTATTTGACCAATCTTCACCTTCTGCTTGTTCCCATTGAACAGCAGTTTTGACTCTGTCACTTACTAGTATAAAAAGATGTACGTGATTATTTTAATTTTAATACAGTATTCAATTAATTTTTACTAGCTTATAAAAAAAGAAGATATACTAGAACTTATTTGCTAATGATTTAGCAATTAATTGATTTTTAATGAATTATAATGTAGTTATATATAATGATACCTATAACATCACTTTGTGGAATTATCTGCAATAATTGATTTGTTTTACTACTAATCAAGCAATCTCCAACTCCAGGATTTATCAAAAGAACTTTTTTATCTGCAGCCACTGCTACAAGTGATAGAGACTGGTTTGGACACCACGCTACTGATCTTATTATTCCACCGCATGGCACTGTTTTTACACATCTTCCTGTTGCTATTTCCCATACTATAAAGTAGATTATAATGTTAACATATAATTTTATATTTTGCCAAGGAAGTAATTTTCACTAATGAAGTTATTTGAGTTTGTAACAAATTCATATTTTTTTCATTTCAGAGCTCAAATAACTTCTGCTTGCAATGTAAAAGGGTATACTAACTTTTCAAATTCATATCATCTCCACCAGAAGCAATATACTGTCCTATTGGTTCTACAGTAATACTTCTCACCATATCTATATGACCCTTAAATACCATAGACATTGTTGTAGGAAATGGTTGAAGATCTTTTGGACTAGGTAACTGAGGTACTAAAGTTTCGGGTTCTATTGTTAATCTCATTTTTAGGGCTCTAGGACACAAATACAAATCTAAACACCTCTGAAATCTTTCTTTAACATATTTAGGATAGGCAGGAACTTCACGAAGTGAACTATATTTCTGTGGAATGAAATGTAATTTTCGTTTCCATGGTGTCGGTTGTAATTTGTTCCATTCTTTCAGTTCTTTTTTATCAAATAAATATTCTGGAGGTGGATTGTAACTTTCTGCATGTCCAGGCAAATGTCTCTTAGGTGCTGGAATATGTTTGTGAATTCTACGCATTTCCTCTGCTTGATCATCTGACTGCCATAACATATAGAATTGTGGTTCGCTCTTTTTCTGTTGTCTTTCCTTTTCCAACTCGGCAGTAGATTTCATCCAACCCATTTTAAGTGCATGAACTAATTTTGATACCTTCCTAGCTTCTGGTTTAGATGGTAAGAATGAACGTTTATGCTCAGGAAATTTACGTAATGGTGTTTTCATTACTTCTGAAGTAAACCACTCTACCCATGGCTACAATTAATTGTTATTAAATTATAAAACATTACAAAAAATACATTTTTATATGAAAATTGTATATATTAAAAAGAACTTACAGCATATTCATCAAAAGTTACATCAGGAATTTTCTGTTTTTGTATCCTTGTTATTAATTCTATGTCTGCTTCGCTTAATACCACATCTTGTCCAGTTTGAGGATCCTTTATTGTTCTCCAAAAATCTGGATCCTCCATTCGTTTCAAAAAGTTATCTAACTGATCTCCTTTTTGAGGTTTTATAATTTTTTTACCATCCCAATCATAACCAATATGGTCATAATTATCATACCACTTCATTGGTATGTTTCCAACTGTATTACGAATATCTTCTTCATCAGAGCTGTCATATTCGTATTCATCTATCTGTCGATTTACTGATACATTATTATTTACATTTTCACTACTTACACTATGCACAATACTTTTTTTATTAAATTTTTCTGATAAATTTTGTTTTGAAGTAGTACTTGCATTTTTATTGGAACTTAAATTTTTCTTATTTTGTATAACTTTAGAAAACCTAGATTTATTTGACTCATCTTTAAAAGTTTTATTTTTCTTATTAGTATTTAATGTAGCAGATAAATTTTTGTTATTCATTTTAGATGTAGTAGACTTGTTTATCTTTGTTTTAGGCTTAGATTGTTGTGATTTTGCAGTAAACACATTCTCATTTTTCTTTTCTGTATTTTCATTTATATTACTTTGATCAATAAAATCATTTTCATTATCATTTTCAGAATAACTTTCATCTAAACCTAGAATATCAGAGTCTGATTCAAAACTTAATTCATCTTCATCATCAGATTCGAAAACAATAGGATCTTTCTCAGTATCAGATTCAGGAATATTCTCATTTTCATCCGCTTCCTCATCAGTACTTTCATCATTATTATTTACTTCAGCTGACAATAAATCTTCAGTACCTGAATCCTAAACAATTATTTTTTCACATTATAATGAACTTATACGCAATAATAATCCTAACTGGACTACAAGTGCTTGTACATTCTTTAAAATAAAATAACTTTTTTAAAAATTTAATCAAATGACGAGTCTTTTTTAAAAAGTAAAATGAATTGGTTTACTGAATAATATGTCTTTATTATAAAATGAGTCCAGGTAAAATAGCAAACAAAATATAGATGTGATTGTTTAAAGCAAAAAGTACATGTGTTACTTCATATAAATATCTTTATATATTAAAAGAATTGTAAAATGTGACCATCATATTTCTTTACTACTTTAACCAATTGCAACATTTTCAAAAGACGTAATATAATAAACTAATCCTTATTCCTTTTCAAATGTTTTAAAGAATGCATGAACACTTCAGTAGCTTCTTTTATATATTAAACTAATATCAATATGTAATAAAAAGTTGTAAATTGATTTTTATAAATTGTTTTCTTCAAATTATTATTAAAAATAATTTTTAATGTAATTGCGTACTTTAAAATTGTAATACATTCATATCTATAAACTATATTTTTTAGTACAAATATTTATTATTAATTTTATTGAAAACTCATAATTATAGAGGTTAAAATATAGAAAAGAAAACATTTTACCGATTCTTCTTCATGTTCAGATTCTATTGGATTCTCTTCTTTCTCTTCTTTTTTAACATGATCTTCAGTTCTTATATTGTTTAATTTTCTCTTTGTTATCTTTTTTTCAACTTTCATTTTGTTTAAATTTCACATGTATATACACAAATAAAATGAGGTTATGTATCTCTCACATGCCATGAGCATCCAAAGTATTTTTACCAACATATATACATTCAAGAGCAATTTGGTTTCCTAGGAAAAATGGCGGCCAAGGGGAGGTGATCCTCATCACCTGTTTCAGAATAAGGAATCCATCATAGAAGTCGATAAATAACAAAATTTTCTTGAACAATTGTTTATTTTTAAAAGTAAACTGGTTCATTTTATAACGGGTTAAAATAATACTGAACTTCATTTATAACTCGGTTAGCAAGTAACGAATACATATAGTGCATAACAGCATGTAAATGGTGACTTCCTCGGCTTCGATGTAAAATTATTTTCTATTTGTGCTGATTGTTGTTCTTTTTAATATCTAATTATCAAACTATTATATTATTATAAAAATATATATATAATTTATTACATTAATTGAAGTATGTTATATAAATAAAATATGTTACATATATATACATTTTTCTGTACAAAATGTTTTTAAGAATTATACACTAAACAGATAAAGAAGTATACAGCTGAGTAATCATTAATGAAAAATTACGCGCTCATTCTTAATATAAAAATAATATAAAATTTGCTATATCACAATATTGTACTTTGTTTGTTGAGCAGTATTAGGTGGTGTAGTTGTTGGATGAATATGAACAGGCAAATCCCAAATCATTGTTTCAACATCCAGTGTCAATGGACCTTGCCAGTTCATAGTATTTTTATTGGGCATTTCTATTAATTTAGATGTTGTAACAAATTCAAAATGTAATCTCCATTTTAAAGTCATTAAATCAGTGGTAAAATCTGGAGTTACATGTAAAGGTATGGGTAGCACCAAGTGGGAGTACTTTAAACCCATACACATTTCATGATGTTTATTATAACTAACTAAAGTAGGAGCTGTATTTTTTCCTCGTCTGTAGTCCTCTGAAATATGTTCTTCTGACTGTAATGCAACTGACACTTGTGCACAAGACACAGTAGCATTTGAAAAGTCAAATGTTCCGACTATATCCTCTCCAAGTTTATAAGAATTTTTAAAAAGACAAAACCTTACAACGCGTCCTCGTCCATTAGTAATATTATAAAAGTTTGGACTACGTCTTGCAGTTAAATTCTAAATGTATTTAACAATAAAATAACTAATTGATGTTACATTTATAAAAATAAATCAATATTTTTATCAGATTTTACAAACCTGAAGAGTTTGAAGTGCAACATCTAAAGAAGTTTCTCTATGTTGTGTTTCCATGAATGGATTATTGGGACTTAAATCAACACTATCATTACAAGCAGTCACTTCAGGTAGTTCTGTAAAAATTATGTTAATAAAATGACATATAATGGTCATATACATATTACATTCAAATGTAATAACCAAATTTAATTAACACATTACCACTTAAAGAAAGTACTCTGAATGGAACTCTGAGCAATTTTATAGCAGTATTTACTCGTTGTGTTCCAACCGTGATTTTATAAGAATATTTTACTGCATGTCCTCTATAGGATGGCGGTGCATCGCTTGGAATTATTTCTCGATAAATATCTATAAAATTTAGATACATAATTTCATAATCTTCAACAGCACAATACATACTACACGTATACTTTTCACAGACTTACATGTTTTACTTTCCCCAGGAGACAATCTCAAATCACAGAATAAAATTTTAGGTTTTGTATTTAATACAACATGGCCATTATCCTGTTGCCATGGTGCAAACGTTGTATCTGTGAAATATATCTTATGAAAATAAACTAAATGAATTAAGGAGTAAAACAACTTCTTTTTATTTTATTTTTCAACTATTAATTTATATGATATGGAAGAAGTCTTAAATTACAATTAAATAAAAATATTATGTGAATATAGGTTCATAAATATTTTATAAAAAAGCTCTAATAAAAGTATATATTTTAAGAGTAAAAGCTAGTTTATTGCTAGTACATAAAAATATCAGCTATGTCCAAGAAATCAACTTTTTCCAATGATATTTACAGCTTGAATTTATAATGACACATTATTGAGACTTTATGTTTCATTAGAAAGATTGATCATATATGTTTATGAACCTTTTAAGCAATATTTTATTACTACTTTTAGTTTTGTTTTCTTGTACATGTAGTTCAAATTAGATGGTTATGTGGCACATTAAACTGAATTTGTTAAAAAATGATCAGATGAATATTATCATGACAGATGGATTACTCACAGATAATACTTAAATTTTACATAATTATACAAGAAACCATGACAGAAATTGTATATCTTACAATAATTATTTGCAATGAACATAGAAACAAGTTAATCTTTCATGTACTCAAAATAGCATTTTAAAATAATTTTTAACTGATATAGTATGATAATTAAGCATTCATACATACCTATATTTACATAACACTTTTTTCTTATTTTTATTTAGGGAATATATTGCTCAAATTTGATTGTTTAAAATATCTTATGTCTCTCATAAGTATTAATCAGAAAGTATTATTATTTCTACTAATTTATTAACTTACTTGCATTAATAGCTACTAATCGGGCTGCAGTATTTAATTTTTCTGATATAACAAGTTTACTGTTTGCCGAACATTGACAATGAACTTGTGCACTAGCCCATGCAAGACTCTCAAAGATATCACTACAATGATTTATAAGTTAAATATAGAAATTTAATTTAATTTTCTGAAAAATAAATTAATATTATTACCTGTTACTTTGAGATATTTGATGAATCGGGTTTGGTGGGTTACTGAATGTAACTAAACATTCTATGACTTCTCCAGAGAAATATACAGGTCCTCTAATTAATTTTGCAGTTATTTCAATCATAATTATTATTATTATTACCAGCAACTCGTTTAATAAATATTACTCTACGCTAGTTATCTCTTCTAAAATCGATTTTTTTTATTACAAATATTATTTATGTTATATGTACTCATAAATTCATATTAGTATGTTTTCTTAAATATACCAATGCAAATCGACATTTGTAAAAAAATTTATGTAGTTTTTTCAAATTACAATTATTTTACTAGTTCAGTGTACTTATATTAATATAAATATGTAATTAGTAAAACCTTGATGTATTGGAAATTAAATAAAAACATATTTATTGGAAGTTCGAGCGAGGTTAAGAAGTTCTATCTCGATTTAGTGACACAAATTAATTACATTAGATAAGTTTTTGTTCATTACTGTGCAGATCTGCTTTGATTGGTTCTACATGCTCCGTAATTAAAAGTAATGCGCAGACTCTTGTAACATTAGAATACCTCGACGTCTTGCATACCTAGTGAGCAGACAGTTGTGGGAATTATTACTTTCCGACAAATATCTTAAAAATATGTTTTTTACTTTCGAATTTAATAATATATTACATATATGTATTCACTTTTCTAATATTGTACCATAAAAGTTGTTTTCAGATTATTTTTTAGTACACTGAATCAATTAATATGATTTATTAGAAGCTATCGTGTATATCACTGTGATTTTAAGTTGTATTCAAAAGTGTTCGTTCTAAAAACCAAAATTCTTTCATTTCATATATTTTCCTGTATTTTTTTATTGTATGTACCTTTGTTTTACGTATTTTACTACATACGTTTCTAAATTATGTTGTTTTATTATTCGTACATACATTATTGTTCATCGTATATATAATTACGAAGTAAAAAGTAAAACTATATAGGGACACCATCTAGGTGCGCGAGTATTAACTCACTGAATACAAAAATACATTTGTACATAAGGACTAATGATCATGGCAGTCGACGCCCTCAATAATAAACAACAACATAAGGATAATATAGTTTTATTATCTTAATATATACCAAAATTGTATAACAAATGATTTACAGAAAAAAGTTAATTATGAAAATATGTCACTGTGTATATATATTTTTGTGAATAAACCAGTAGAATATATATACAACTGAAACATTTTCAAGTTTCATAACCTTTTTAAAAATAACAAAATGATAAAATTAAGTACATGTGAAATTGTTAATGAAGTTGATAATAAATGTTTCACAGTTTATGTGGAATGGTTAAATTCACATTTTAAAATAATGTTGTTAAGCTCAACAATGCCACCACTAAGTGGTGAGGTTTGTACACAAATGAAAAGTCATATATGTAGAGTACAATTTTAGTTTCATATTTTTAGTAATACAGTCAACTATTTTAATAAAAAGAATTTGATGTTGTAGATGAATACCGAAGATGTGGAAAATTTTTGTGATGGATTGGGTAAATCATTTGATGAATATCTACAAGAAACAAAAACAATATTTTGTGGAAAGGATAAAGAAACTCAATTTTTTATCGAGGATGATAAATTGGAATGGAGAAGAAATGTATGGACTCTAGGAAGAATTAAGCTGCAACCTGTTGTGGATATAAAAGACTTTTCTGGATGTTTTCAACAATTATTACAATTTTATCAAAGTATTCAAGATAGAATAAGTATATTAGAAGAAGAAAATCAAAATTTAAAAAATGAAAATACAGATTTGCTTTCCAAAGTAGAAAAAATCACAAAAAACAAAACTGTAATGGAACAGGATCTTTATAAAAAGTTTATATTAATTTTAAATTCAAAAAAACAGAAAATAAGAGAGCTGGAAGCTGCAATACAAGAGAAACAGAATGCTGCAGAGTCAGTTTTTGATGCATGTACAGATGAAGGTGAAGAATCAGATGAAAATAATCAAGAACTTGATAATAATTCAATACGTACCAAAATTAATAAACGAAAATCTCTTGATAATGTTAATTCTGAAAGTACTCACAAGACTAGAAAGAAAGATTCTACTGTAAATAAGAATTATACTGATAACAATGCAACAATTAATAAAACATCTCTTATTAAAGGTTGTGTAATCGGTAAAGCACATTCTACAAACAATTCCTTAACGTTAGATAACAAAAATATTCTTGAAGATGAAAGTTCTAGTTCTAAGATCGAAGCATTAAAACCAAATTCTAATTTTGTTGATAGTGACTCGGAGGAAGATTTGTTTACTTCTTAACAGAAATTTACTTGTACTTTTATTGCATACTATTCACAAGTCTAAAATGTAAATTGTGCAATTAATAATCAGAACTTGTCTATATTTTGAGAATAGAAGAAAACTTCTGTGGAAAAGGTTTTTAAAAACAAATTAGTATCTTATTATCATTTGTATAAAATATGCAGCATGATAAGGTAACTTTATGTAATAATAACAAATTATAAGAGACTTGAGTCTTTCACAGCCCAGCGTCAAACAGGTATTACTGTTGAGGCTTTCTTTTAGGACACAGCTTACACCTGAAAGCCTCAACAGTAATACCTGAATAACAAATTATTTTAAATTGAAAAGATAAATATTACTACATAAGGTACAATAATTTTATATGAAGATTAGTATTATAAAGGTATATAAATTTAATTTTGTACATAAATATAGTTGTATAAAAATAGAGTTATTTTCAATAAAAAATGTAAAAATTAATTACAGCATTCGTTATAATGTTTGTATTGTTCTTTTATACTAAAAATGATTAACAATGTTGAAATATTATAAATATAAAAAAGTTTAATTTATTACCATTTTTGGATTATCTTGGATCATAATCATGCAGAATTTTGATTATTCATAATTTGAAATTACTTATTACTGTTTCTGCTTGCTAAGAAAATATACATAACATGTATATGTTGTTAAAACATTAATATAACAAAGTAATTTTAAGTATGAAAACTGAATATGATAACATACAGAGTTACTCAAATGGTATAAATGAGGTACAAATGAGATAAAGCAGAGGGTACAACTTAGAATAAGATAAAAATTAATGCACACACTCATCTACCGAAAAATGACAATATGGATTTCACTACAGACTGCTACTGTAATTGTTTTTACATAGAATGTCAGAAACCATTTGGTATAAAAATCATTATTTATATCACCTGCATTCGTCCTATTGGAATACATGATAGAAATATATATTTTATTCACAAAATTAAAACAAAGAACTGATTGTAATATATGTTACAATACCTAAATTAAAATAAACTGAACTACAATTAACAATAAACTAAATCTGATTAACACTGAAATGTTTAATTAATTGGTATTACTGATTAAATTCATTATGTATCCTTGTAAATTTTAATAATGATTTAATTCAGATAAATATTTATAGTAGTTATCTAGTAGTGCTTTTCATTAGTTAGTAAATTTTCTAATACAGTTTTGTTATTCTGGATATTTATTTTATTTTGAACTATTATATTATATTTTCGATCCTATTTATATCATGAATTTTAGTCATAGATAGATTTTAATTATATTATATAAACAGATGCATTTTTTATCATAGACACATTTTTTATACATAATAATATTTAATAATATTTTTTTTAGATATCAAATGTTTGATGTTTCTTATCTATACTAATTAAGGATCTACTCTAGGTATAGTGGCTCATGAAAATATTCAAATGATTTTTAATAGGTGCACCCTTTTTTGAAATAAGAATAAACAATATGTTGTTTAAAAAAATGCAATTTTTGGAAATAGCAAAGAAAAAACAAAAGTGACTTTTCAACATTTTTTGTCTAAGCTTACAATAAAAATTTAAAACGTACTTTTTGTAAATTATAATTATATTCTTAGGTCTATTAAGTTTTTCAAAACAACGGATGCATATCATATAGTAAACTAACTAGTAGAGATTGTTTATGATAATTTTAAACAAAGTACACCGTTTTAAAAAGCATTCGAATACTGTTGTGAATACATACAAAAATATAGTTGTATATACACTGCTCAAAAGAAATATGGCATAGAAAAATTTTAGGCAAAAATTGGCCAAATTTGACTGATGATAACTCCGTGAAAAATCATCGCAAAGTTATGCTCTTTTTTTTTCAAATTAAAGCTTGAGATCTCTACCTTAAGACCCTGTAGTTTGATTTTAGATTTGATGCATCACTACCACAATAACACCGTAAATGTGAGGTCATGTTTGCTATATTGATAATTACAAAGTTTGACGAAATGCATGGACTTGCCACATTTGTTTTTGGTGATACTGTTTACAGCAGTATAAAGTACAAACCTTCATCTTTATTTTCCAGTATGTGAAAAACCGCTACCATTTTTTCCCGCAAAGATACAGAACTTTAGAGAAACCCTTGCATTTATGGAATATACCGCCGGCATTAGCATTACCCGATATGCACCTTGGAGAGGTTGCTGGACAGATTTTGCACATCATATGGATCTGACAAGAGACTTTTTTTGTGTGTATTTGTGTGTGAGTATCTGTGTGTGTGTATGAATTATCGTCGAGAAACCTCGTTGAGAATCATTCTCGAATTTTGCAGTCCCAATTCAATTCGATTGCTTCCACATCCTGCAGTAAATCCAGATTTGAACCCTACAGAAATTTAAAAAGACAACCTGCCAATCTGTAAGACTTGTTGCAAGTCTTAACTCAATTTTGGAATGACATTTCACAAAAAGAAATTAGGGCTTGCATTAACATGAATAATAGGCTGCAAGGGATAATTCAACAACGCGGAGGAAACACACGTTATTAGAATTCAAACATACACACACGCAGATACTCACACACAAATACACTCAAAAAAAGGCTCTTGTCAGATCCATATGATGTGCAAAATCTGTCCAGCAACCTCTCCAAGGTGCATATCGGGCAATGCTAATGCCGGCGGTATATGCCATAAATGCAAGGGTTTCTTTAAAGTTCTGTATCTTTGCGGGAAAAAATGGTAGCGGTTTTTCACATACTGGAAAATAAAGATGAAGGTTTGTACTTTATACTGCTGTAAACAGTATCACCAAAAACAAATGTGGCAAGTCCATGCATTTCGTCAAACTTTGTAATTATCAATATAGCAAACATGACCTCACATTTACGGTGTTATTGTGGTAGTGATGCATCAAATCTAAAATCAAACTACAG